GGAAGAAGAGAAGGCAGACGTGAAGAGCCTGATCTCTAGTTTTCCACAGAAACGCCCAGAACCATAGGACCAAACAAACCCCAGTCTGCGTCCCCTGGACAGATGATACCATGTGTACCGTGCTGAGTGGATGCTGTGCAGCAGAAACTGGAACATACGGGGAGCCCGGCACCCCAACATCTCCCAACAGGTGGCTGGGCTTTCCCCAGGGATATGGGTATACTTTAACTGGGTTCTAGGTACACACAGGTTTTATTTAAGGGAAGTTAATTTTTTTTTTAATTTGTATCTTGTACAGAATGAAGTCAAACCACTTAGGGAGATGCAGAAGTGCCCGAGACTCAAACTAAGTTGCCAGTTTTCATGGTTTTAAAACAGTGTGCGGGAAGAGCATCAAAAGATGAAATCGTATCTGAGCTCTAGTAAAATAAAATAATGTCTCGGACCTCGGAGGAATGAGAGGGTAAATCAGCCACTTGAAGGTTGTGGGTAAGTGGGATACTTATACACCCCGAGAGGGGGACAGAAATACACTCCCAGAGGGGCTACTCAAAGCCACAGTATAATAAACACCCCCTAGAACATCCATTCTACTTAAAACACAGCCACTACAGAATAGAACAAAAAAAAATGATTTTTTTTTTACAATAATCAAAACATTTCAAGCATGCAATGAATGGCCAGTTTTGTACTCACTCTTAGATTAGAAATATTTTAATGAAAACGTTTAAAAATAGGAAGGCATATAAAATTGACATTAGGGCTAGCACGACTTTGAAAGGGAAGGAGAGAATAATTATTCTGTTTGAGGAGACTGAGATTAGAGAGTTTTTAATGACTCGCCACACGGCTCTTAACTTGAATCCAGGTCAACCCTCCCTCTCCCAAACTACATTGTCTTTCTAAAGAAAAAAAGATTTATTCTACTGAGACCATGGACCTCAGGGGTTAAATCTCCCATGCTAACTAAAAAAATAATAAGGATGATAGCCCACATACGCCTTCAACATCAAAGTTACTCCACTGGTAATCAGCGGAAAATGAAAACCTTTCGTTTTCTAGTAATCTCTCAGAGGTACGTCATTTTAAAAACAAGACTAAAGCGTAGATCGTTCCTTTGATTTCCTAAGCCCAACGCAGATTAATTTGTTTGGTCTTTTTAAAATGTGTTCAAAAATTCCCTCAGGAGATTTTTTTAGCACTAGGTTTCATACGACCTGGCTGGGGGGACAAAATGCTGGTCCACTGAACACAAAATAGTGCACCGTTCTTGCAATGGAAGAACTATGGCCTTCTTATCTTTTCAACCAAGAATGACTAACCAAGGATTAAGCAAGTGGCCTAACAGACAGGGGGCAAAAGAAGAGGAACCCAGGCCTATTCACTCCAGGAAGCCAGAATATGATGGGTATCACGTTCATTAGTTGCTAAGCAGTCTAAGAGATACTAAAAGTAGAAGAAGAAAAAAATCCAATTTATAAATGATTAATATGCATCACATAATCTGTAAATGCATAAGTTTTACAGACAGTGTAGGAATGCACTTAATTTTACATAAAAGAAGTCTAAATAAAAAATAAGACTGCTAGGGACAAACTCTTATTAAATTACAAAACCTGCAGTTGAAGTCTTTGAGAGCAGGGGCTAAGAGTTTTTAAGTAGTTATCCATGGAGAGTTTTGAGTATGTACAGGGCTGATTCAATTTAAAAAAAAACAAACCACTAATTGGTATTATATAATTACTATATAAACTTCAGCTTGAAGGAGGAAATGGTGTTCTACAGTGACACCTACTGGTAATGGGCGATGGAACAGCATGATACTATTAGATAAAATAGTAAACAAGATGTTACAACCCTTCTGCATGTTAGAAGCTACAGGGAAAGACTGAATGATACTCAGAAGGGAAAAGCTAGACAAGCAAAAACATCACACATACCAGTGTTGGTGTACTACAAAATAAGCTCAAAAGGACATGATTCTTCTTAACCAAAGATTATCAAATCAATAAATCTGAAAGAGGATCCCTCTGGCCGGAACTGGCCATACAAGTCCAATTTACTTAAGACTCTTTTATATTTTAAAAGGCAAAGCTGAAACAGGTAAGATTGAGCTCCCTAGGAATCTAGACATTTTAGCAGTTTTCTATTTAGAACGAGTAAAAGGAAAAAGCAGACACTTGCTTTAAAAATCTAAGTGCTATATAAATCCCCAGAGTTTCAGTTTCCAAATACTACTTTTCAACATGACCACCAAGATAAACAGAAGGCCAGATAATCACTTTTTCCCTAAAACACATGTTTCAAAAGTCTGAGTCCTTTTCACCCCATACTTTTACACAAAAATTAAGCAATAACAACGCTGAATGTGGCCAATGTCATCATCAGCTTCAGATTCAATGGGGAACACCCAAAACATAACTGACTCTTTCAGCCCTTCGATGTCTCAGACAATAATTTCTCAAATGTACTGTTTCGAACATAATCTTAGCCACAGGAAACCTAACTGGTGAAACAAAGCATGCTTTTCCTAAGTAACTGTTTGTAGGGTGCCACAGAGAGAGCCAGAAGGAAACTTTAAAAAAGAATCTACCCCAATTCCAATACTTTCATAAAATCTTACAAATTATATAATCTAACATTCAGGCAAGTGGTATACTAAATGAATAACAAAAGAAACCTGAGTTCTGGTCTTAGATGTCCATTAACTAGTAGGGTTTCCAAAAATTACACGTCTTTAATGAACTAACCAACCTTTTTGGACATTAATTTCTTCATAGCTTAGAAGAGGGAACTGAACAGGCCTCAGTAATGCCGCTGCTAAAATGGTTTTCCCAGCAGATGGGAATGGTTTGGGCATCCGTGTCTAATACTTCTATGACCCAAAACACAGAGCCACAAAAGAGAAGCTGGCTGTCTTTGGGGTATATCCTGCTAAAAGAAAGCAGTATAAATAAAATCACACTGTCACACTGCAGTGTAACTGTTTACAACGGAGAGAACCCTCATTTCCATCTCCAGTGCCTTCCACCTGGCACACAGTCGGAACTCAGTCTTTACTGAAAGAGGGGGGAAAAAAAATCTACAAAACAGGAATATTCATTATGTCACATGGAAGACTCCAAAACCAACTCTAGAAATGCTTTGAGGGTCTTGTTTGTGTGCTTGTTTGTTTTGTTTTTACATGACACTGGCAATATATATATATATATATATATATATATATATATATATATATATTTGCCTTTATATACTTTGTTTCATGACAATTATGGAACCCATGTGTAAAATGCTTAAAAGGCTGTAAATCTGCAAACAGGGGCAGAGGTTGCCCTAAAATGCCTGTCTATGAAAGTCAGAATAAATTCATTTAGGTCATAGCATTTCCTGAATGTATTACCTGCCTGTTAAAACCGGTTCAGTTCAGCGGGGGTGGGAACATAACACATTTCCCAATACTAATTCTTACCAATAACAGGTCATATAAAGTGACTTCCTCAGGGGCAATCAGTCCTCTCCACTCACCATTGAAAAGGACAAAAAAAAAAAAAAAAAAAAAAAAAAAAGGACCAAAGAAGTGCTTCCCTTGTAAATAAATAGCCAAGGAAAACTTTTGAAAACAATTAACATCTAAGTCTTGTTCACCAACTTTTTCTGTTGGTTCTTAATCAGAAACTTTAAGAAGAGTCGCCAGAACCACCTGAGCCGTTCATCTGCTCTTCAGCCTGTTTAAGGAGTAGTGGAAAAAGGACACACACTCTTTATTATGTCAAAGGTGAGTTAATGTGATCAAGCTGTCTTTTTCCATCGACGATACAAATACTAGTTCTCAGAATGTTAAATTTGTGCAGTGACTTTTTGAATTTTTTATTTTTTATTTACATAACTGCGCCATGTAAATTCATTCATTCATTCATTCATTCACCAATCAAATAAGACATCCTCCGAAAATAAGACCTAGCGCATGGAAAGATAAGACATCCCCTGAAAATAAGACCTAGCACAATTTTGGGAGAAAAAATTTAATATAAGATACTGTCTTATTTTCGGGGAAACAGGGTATTTATAGAGCACCAATATTAAAGGGCCAGGACCGTTCTAGGAGTTGTGAAGAGAAATGAACAATTTCAGATAGTGATAAGTGCTACACACAAATAGTTCTTTGAAGTGGAGATATGGTTATCTGATTTATCTTCTTAGTAAACATGAATACATTACATGTATACTTCAGGAAACAGAGTCTATCCTAAGTCATTTCAAAATGATCATTTCCAAAACGAAGTTTACAGCTCACATTCAATACACATGGGCAATGGAGTTTCAATACCCTATGAGTCAAAGGAAGTCTAAAAGAAACAGAACCACTGAAATATGAGATGAAACTGATTTAAAACATCTGTTCTCCCCTTTTGGTAGGTAAGCACACCGAGTAGAAAGGTGAATATTCAGTAGATTTTTTTTAAGACAAGGGGAAATCATTGAGAAGCTCGTCCAGGATCCCATGGTATTCTGTAAAACTACATTAAGGCAAAAATATTTAAAAATAATTTCCAAGAGCATTCCAATGACTCCCCCCAAGCACACACTCCACACCCCCAACAGAGTGTCCTCTGAGTTGTTCTCAAAAGCGGCTGATTTGGCAAGTCATTTACTTTCTCTGACGTTGGCTCCCTTCCAAACTCTCCAAAATATGCAAGGCAAAGGCGAATGGTTCCTCTTGACTCCCATCCTCAGCCCCACACGCAAAGCCACGAAAGTCGATCAATCACCTCCATGTGGGCTGCACCCAGCCTGTGAGGGACCAGCCCAGCAGGGTGCACCCGGGGCCCCTCCAGCCCGCCCACCGGGCCCACCACCCTGCTCGGCCTCCGCTCGCGCCTCGGCTCGGAGACTCGGAGGAGAGGCACGCGGGGTCCCAGAGAGATGGGACCCCATATCGCCCGCCGCCCGGATCGCACCCCCAGGGCCGGCCCCAGCCCCCAGCCCCGAGCGCCTCTGACCTCTCCGGGCCCCTGAGCTGCTGCTGCTGGTGCTGGAGCCACTGGTGCTGCTGCTACTGTTGCCGCCGCCGCCGCCGCCGCCCTTGGCATTCTTACGCGGAGCCATCGCGCGCACCGCTGGAGCGGGCAGGGGTGTGGGGCTCCCTCGGTGCGAAGGGGAAAGCCGGAGGGCGCAGGGGAGCGACAGCGGGGGACCGGCCGCGGCTCCGGGAGCAGCCCTGGCGTCTCAGCACCTCCCGCCGCACCTCGGAGGGCTCCGGACCTCGTGCGGGGTGCGCGCGCCCGGGCCTCTCCAGCGGCGGACCTCGGACTCCCTCCAGAGGCTGGAGCGCGGCTCGCCGGCCCTGGGCCACGCCCCTTCCCGGCCTAGCCCCGCCTCCTCCCCACAGGGGGCGGGGCGGAGGCTGAGTGACGGGCTGGAGAACCTATCACAAGAGCTTCCCTGAAGGGGGTGGAGCTCTGCTGCTCTTCCCCGCGCGCCGGCCCCCCGCCCCCTGCAAGGCTTGGGGCTGTTCTGGCACCACGCCGCCGCAGCCGCCGCCTGCGAGCGCGAGCCGCCCGCGACTTTGCAATCTGCCCCGGTCCCTTTTGGAACGTGGCAAACGTGGAGGAAACCGAGAGGGCTCTCGCGAGTGTTGGGAGGACCCCGCACGATCGGGATGGGGCGGGGTGCGCGGGCGGAGCCGGCGGGCGCATGTGTGTGCAGCGTTGGACGGAGCGCGCAGCCTCTTGGCCCTTTTTTTTTTTTTTTTTAACTGGGAATTTTGTCCATGTCCCGCTTCCTTAGACGCACAATCCCCAAGGAATGCAACCCTGCTTCTTGCGAGAGATATGTGTTTCTTGTCAGTATTCGTATTAATACATTTCTGAAATGGGGATAGTAATAGGTCAATGCTTAAGCCATGCAAATGATTGATCGGTTCAATTTTAAAGCAAGACTTCATTTTGTTTATATCCTATTGGTATTTTCAGAAACCCTTAGTGAAAAGGTGCAAATGCAGACGTGAAACAAGAAGTTCATTTGGTTGTCCTGGATGGCACCCTGTTCCTGAGCTCTCCCCCTGCCAGGTTTTGCCTACATTTATCTTTCCTGGATGCCCCCAGCCGTGGGTCCTCTGTGACTCACAGCCCCTGAGCCTGTGACGCCTCTGAATTTTGCATGAGATCTAAAAATATATATATATGGGCCTAGGGATGAACCAAACAGGATCTTGGTATCAGGTACATTACTTTCATCTTTGTGTCGCCCATGGCCAAGGCAAAGCCTGGTGCTTAACAGACAAGCAAGAAATGCTTGGTTAATGTGATACATTTATGGCAACGTACTAAGACCTTCCCACAATTCTTGACCCTGTTGCAGAGCCCTTCCTGGGAATGTCTCAAGGGGACTTAAGACCCAGAGACAGCGGTTGTAGTCCACGCCCCACCCCCACTGCCAGGTGCCCAGGCCCATCGCCTCTTCTGCCGTGAATGGCTCAATGCCACTGAGCACTGCCTAGTGATGCACAGAAGCCGAGAGAGGGTGGGTCGTGTTGCATAATGAGAGAAGGCCTCTCTATCCTTTTTGTGAAATAATGTTAGTTATTGAGATAAAGCAGGGGCAAGGAATCTCATAGAGAAGATATATATATATATATATATATATATATATATATATATATATATATATATATATATATATATGATTTTATTGGTTTTAGAGAAAGAGGAAGGGAGAAGGATAGAAATATCAATGAGAGAGAAACATGGATCAGCTGCCTGACCCCTACTGAGGATGGAGTCTGAAACCTGGCAGTGTGGCTCATGGGGAATCTAACCCGTGACCACTTGGTGCATGGGGCCATGTGCAGTCCACTCAGTCACACTAGCCAGGCCTCTCGAGTTTTAACTGAAGCAGCTCTTTGTGTTTATCTTATGCACCTCCTGCCTCCACACTTCCTTTTTCTCATTTGGGCTCCCTTTCAATGGCTGTGAGGTAACTGAGTTCAGAGACAAATATAAGTGATAGTACTTAATATAAAAAAGTATGAGAGCTAAGCTGAGAAAAACAGTGCTTAAGGTATTTGAACTCCTGGGTTATCACAAAAGCCCGTTATTGTGTCAGAGATGAGGCAACTGAGGCCCAGGGAGGTTAAACACCATATCAGTAGTCACAGAAGCGTGAGTGAAAGAGCAGGGATATGCACTCAATCCATCTGCTGCAGAGTCCATGGTCCAAATTTTCCTTTAGGATGAGGCTTCTGTTTTGAGCAGAGAAGGTCTCACCTGACTCGCTCTTCTCTTAGCAGAAGTGCTTCATGGGTCCTAGCTTGGAAGACTGGTCCAAAACCTGATGGTGGGTGCTTAGCGAAGTCCACCTCTTTGAGGAAATCATGTTTATTTGATAACTAACCCCAAAATGCCTTTGCTCCTGCATTTCGAGAAACCAAATCCAGTAGCATTGATGAGTACGTTGCTGTGTATCTTTGGCAGTACCAGGCCAACATAGAGGCTTTGTAAATACAGAGCACAGGAAGTCAGAGGCTACCTGACTTCCCCCTTGGACCACAAGGAAACAGCTGCAATGACATTTGCACACTCAGTATTATTCACATGGATAACAATATTTATGACACCAGATACTGCTGGCTATCTATACAGTCAAGGACAAAGTTTCCCTAAGCTAAGTCTCAATAGTGTACCTTTTACATCTGTTTGTATTTCCCTCCTTAAGAGCATTCAAAAAACACGTAGCCTACCCTGGCTCCATGAAATTCTTCACATACGTAAGTCTTTTTCTCAGCATTGGGGCCAGGGGTTCAGGGAGTCAAAATATCCTTGAAGTTAAACAAACTTAGGTTGTTAGCCTAACCTCATTTTGGTGACTTCTGAGTAAGCTATGGTTGAATCCTTTGGTGAAGCAATGTGAAAAGGACCACAAAGATAAGACTTAACTAGGACAATGTGTTAAAATACGGATTTAATAGAGCTTTTAAACTGGGCCAAATGTGCCTTTCAGATATTTCCACAAACTTTCTATTGGCTTCACTGGGATTTGCAAGTAAGAACTTGAGGACAAGATTTGTCCTAGTTTTTTTTGCGCGTATGTTGACCCTTCATAACCTTCAGTCAAATGCTTTCCAAATTGGGTATTTCTGGACTTACTTATATGTGCTAGAACTCCATTTTAAAGTTGCATTTTAACCTGCTTCTTAGAAAATGCTTCTTATTTACCTGCAGCTTTTCTGATGTGAAATTTTATTATTGCAAACTAAAAATGAGTATTTCCTCATCCTTTGTTTACTGCAATAATGGGAAAAAATGAATTTCAACTGGTCATGATTTAGTTGTATGTTTTCATTTTACATTAGTGAAATTTGCTGCAATGAAGCTATGCTGGTGAGTACAAGAGCACTTTTAAGACATTCTGTACTCAAACTATTCTCATGTGAGTTATTCCCATGTGAGTTATATTGCAACAGGTTAATGAACTGTCATCTTCATCAAACAACTTGACTTTATATTACCATAGAAAACATAACCCTAGCTAGTATCTACATTATAAATACATAGAATGAGTTTATATTAGCAGAAGTAATTTTAAATCAAGTCAAATATATTATAATTGGAAATATTGTCTTGTAATATTAAAAAAATAATAATCTGAAAACACAGCTAAGAAATTTGTCATTTTTTTTTCCATTTGAATTTACAATTTTTTTCTGTTAGGATTGGTACATCTTAGTGCCAATTTTTTTTTTCCTAATAAACAGCATTTAAGTAGTTTTGTTTTGTTTTGTTTTGTTTTTTGTTTGTTTATTTTGTTTTTTGCTAGATCTTAAGTTTCTTAGTACAGGGAAATGATAAAATTGATTCTTTTTAAGTTTCAAGCCAGAAAAACGAACAAACTTAAATATGGAGAAAAAGTCAAATAATTAGAATAACAACTGATTGTAAGCTTGGCAATTCTGTGATATATGATAGGACATAGAAATATGATTTAGGAGTCTTTAGAAAGTAATGGAGAAATCAAGAAAGGAAAAAAATGGATGAATCTTAGGAATTCTACTGTTTAAAGGGTAATGATTTTACTTAAATTACATTTACCTCAAGAGTCTGGGTGTATATATAATAAAAGTAATTGTTCCTATTACATTCTTTTATGGCAATAACCACTTTCCTCAGGTGGAAATGTTCCCTGATCCAGAGAAAAGTATCCTAAAATTAGTTTGTAGTATCCTCCAATTTCATCAATTCTAAATACATTAATCAGGTTACTTGCCTTACAACGAATAGTGTCATAACGATCTGCAAAATTAAATAATTTAGCAGGAAGGTGGGATGAGTGGGTGGGTGAGAGGAGATCAGCCAAAGAACTTGCATGCAAAGGACTTCCATTGCACAAAGATTCTTGCAGTAGGCCTTCCTTCCTCTGGCTGCCGGCACTGATTTTCCTCCAGCACCCAGGACCCAGGCCTTCGCTGGGGCCACAGTGGAGAAACCAAGACTTGAGGTTAGGTTTCTCTGCTCCAGCCACAGCAAGGCTTGGCTTCTCTGCTCGGCTGTAGCAGAGAAGCTAGGCCTCTTCAGTCTTCAGTCTTCACTTGGGCCAGAGCCTTCAATTTCACTCTATGCCTGTGTATACAAATTAACCCGCCGTATTTGTTGGGTTAATTTGCATACTCACTCCTGATTGGATGGTGGACATTTTGAAGGTACGGTAATTTGCATATTTCTCTCTTTTTAAAAAAAATACATTTTATTATTATTATTATTATTATTTTAAATTTATTTATTTTTATTTTTTTTTACAGAGAGGAAGGGGGAGGGATAGAGAGCTAGAAACATCGATGAGAGAGAAACATCTACCAGCTGCCTCCTGCACACCTCCTACTGGGGATATGCCTGCAACCAATGTACATGCCCCTAACCAGAATTGAACCTGGGACCTTTCAATCTGCAGACCGATGTTCTACCCACTGATCCAAACCGGTTTCAGGCTATTTATCTTTTATTAGTGTAGATATGCATACCTCATGGACACAGACAATAGTGTGGAGAAGGCTTGAGTGTGTGTGTGTGTGTGTGTGTGTGTGTATGTATCTGTGTGTGTGGGAGGGAGGCTAG